CACTTTTGTGAGGTCAACTAGCATTTTACGTGGCTTAACTCTGGAGCTCAGACTGTATCACTTGACATTCCTTTTTCTCTTTCTTCCAGTGAGACAGTTTCGAGCCCAAGTTGTGTTCGTGTCTGTCTTTTATCCCTGTATGAATCCCTAGTATCACCCGCTGGTCCTATAAATGCAAAATCTTGTTACACTGATGCATCATCCTCAATGTCTTTATTTTTGACAGTTCATCAGATCATTTCACATTCAGATTTTCTTTTAGCATTGCGTATATTAAATGCCTCAGAATAACATGGAAATAAGATCTTTAGTCAGCCTATTTTTTTTTTGGTACCAGGGATCGAACTCAGTCCTTGTGCTTGCGAGGCAGGCGGCGAAACCACTGAGCTAAATCCCTGGCCCCAGCCTCTGTATTTAATAGCCTAAACTATAGTTATATTTATACAAACATATGTAAATATTATATCCCATAAACTTTGTGGCTATGCACATGTCTTTGTATATTATGACAGTCTGGGAGTACAAAATGCAAAACTCCAAATGATGTTTTTATTTTTATTTATTTATTTATTTTGGGGGGCCGTACCAGGGATTGAACTCGGGTTCTTGTGCTTGCGCAGCAGACAGTGAAACCACTGAGCTAAATCCCTGGCCCAAATGATATTTTTATAGATAATGCATGCTAGTGAACATGGGTAATTTTTAAAACTTTTAATCTGTGATTCAAATAAGCATCAAAATTGATGCAGGAGTTGCAAGTATACTTTGTTGTACATTTCTTTATATATATAAAATGGGTGAAGACCTATTGGTGTCTATTTCCACCTACTTCTTAGCTAGAAATCCATGACTTTAGATAATCCAGATTGAATTGCATTTTCTCTGTTGTTCGCTTCTTGTGAATTTGGCCTTCTGTGTTACAATGTTTTAATTGAAATATTTTCCTTTTCTCACTATTTACATGCAGAAGAGGTCAGCTGTGTTCTTCCCTGATAGCGCATTTTGGTCACGGCTGGATTCAGGTTACTTGGCACTTTCAGTGTTTAGCTATTGGTGGGTGGCCTCTGGACCTTCTTTTTGTGAAAGAAGTTTAGAAATTGGAAGCTTACTATGTGACCAATCAGCAGCTTGCTGCCATTCTTGAGAATTCTAATAGTCTTTGACATCCAGAGGTTAGTACTCAAATACTCAAAAGTCACCCAACTTGTGGCATATTTTTTTATATATCCATGGGAGCATTTGGTTGTGGTTAGCAGGCTAGAATGAACTTTAAATAAATAAAATTCTACAGTTCTTGCTTCCTTCATTCAGCATAGTCTGCTGACAAGATGCAAGCATCTGGCAAAAGAGGAGATTCTCAGCAGGTTTAAGTGCTTACCAAAGTGCCTTCCTGTATCCATGGCTCAGCTTCTAGTCTCTGCTGTGTTATTTTGGCACTTTAGACTTGTAAGATTGGAGAGTCGGGTTTAAAACTCTCAATATATCATTAGGGTAGCCCAAGGTCTCTTGTCAAGGAAGACCAGCTGATTCCAGGGGGAAGGAAAAGCAGAATCCAGGGCATCTGTAAATCCCTGTAGTTTTGTGCTGTGGGTTTGTAGCTAATTATACAGCAGGCAGCTGTAATATGCTGTAGCCCTGTTGGTGTACTTGTTTTAGAAAGTGCAAAATCTTCCAGCAGAGCCAATAAGGAGCTTTGGAAGTGCTGCAAATGAATGAGTCAATGATCATGTTATGTTATGTTTGTAAACTAAAGCTCTTGCAGTAGAATCAGGGCATCAAAATTGCAAGGAGGTGGTAGAGGGGGAATTGTCAATAGAAATACATGGTCAGATGTGTTTTACCATTCTTGATTTGGATTCTTCTGCAGGAATATAGTCACACAAGGAGACCACCACTGGTCACAGCCAGTCAAATTGCTCTTTCTCCTACAGTACTGTTGTTAGTGACTGCTAGCAGGTTATTCAGCTGACCTCTTCTGATTACGCTTTGCTGCCTGATTTCAAGAGATTTGCCCCGTACTGGCTCTGAGTCACACAGCTTGATGTAACCACTGCTTGTTTGCATGCATCCCCATCATTTTCATACAGGGGCTTTTTTCCCTTCAAGTTAGAAGGCAAAAGAATCTGGAACATTTTTATATGATAAGAGATTTACATAGGGTGAGCTAGAATCATGCAAAATGAAATTTAGCTGGAAAGGATGGTAAAAAGGCTCAGAAAACTTGTGACTGCCAGAGAAGTCAGTGTTTCTTACAGAGTTCAGCTACCAGGCAGCAACTCTGACTTTCCATTCATATTGAAACAGGCTCTCCAGCCATTCTGAACAGGCAGATCAATAAAATCAGAGGTGACTTAAGGCCAGGAATCTCAGAATTCAAAGGATTTCTCTTGTCCTTCTTTAAAATCTATATGGATGTGTAATGCTAACTTCAGGAGTAGAGATGAGAAAATGCCAGGTGTAGATTCTGGTTTGTGATACCATATTCAATAGCATTCTTGGAAAATGTCCACTTTGGTTTCTTAGTCATCATATCTGTAAACTGGAACTCATTTATCAAAAGGAAAGTGATTACAGTATTTATCAGAACACCATGCATGAAGATTCATGATAATAAATGTTTTGAATGGTCCAAACAGCAAATATGGGGAGTCAGATTATATTCCATTTATGTTTCTGAAAATATAGTTGATTGCCCCGTAAAGATTGATCATTTTTACTATTTTTGCATGATGAGTATGCAGTGGAATGTGGTAGATTTTATCTTATTTTTAGCTCTATAAATGGAATATTTGACTCATATACAGTCTTTTATTTTTCACAGGCCATAGATCTAGCCTTGTAGTGTCTCATGATAGTGTACAGTGTATCTTATTCCTAACTTGTTCAAATAGCCCCTTATAGGATAACAAAATATATAAATGATCATTATCGGCATGACTAAGCATTTACCTCTTAATAGTTTATCCTTCCTTCCCTACTGAGCCCACACATTTTTATTCTAACAAAGAGAGTAAGCTGGTTCTTAACTTTACTTCTTACATGATTCATTTGTTGTCATTCCTTTAAAAACTGGAGATGCTGAGTTTTTGGTTTTCTACCCTACACTGTGTAGATGGTGTATAATTCTTATAACAAAGCAGCAGGGGGCTCCCTATGAGAGCAGGAGACTTGCTGATGGGGAAATGCTGCCTTTTTGTTGTTGTTAGTGTTCTTTTCAATTTAGGCCTTTTTCTTCTGAAAACTTGGCCCTTGTTCTGTGAATACTCCCTAAGGGATTAGAGTGTAGCTACAGAAGCAATGAAACCATTTTAGTAGTTTAAAAAAATAGTTAACAGTTGAGTGAGATTATACTGGTTTCTAAACTCCAGAAACCCTGATGAAAGGAATATGATATTGCTGTGGTTGTAGGGTTCTTCTCTTTGAACCTAAGGTTCATGGTAAGAGTGTGCAGGTGGTACCATTCTTGAGAATCTTACATCTTAAAAGAAAGGCTTTTCTGTGTTCTCATTAGCATCTACGGTTAGTTTTCTACTCAGCTACACCTCCCTCTACTGTAGAATCTGCATACTTTTTGTGTATTCATGAGGACCAAGTGCATTATAACTAAGGATCTCTTACAAAATAAAACCTGTTCTCCAGAGTGAGCGGCCCAAGGAGTCAAGACAGCAAAGGATCAGATGTTTATACTTGGAGTTTGCTCTTGCTCCCTTATGAATTCACTCTGTGATGCAGGTTTGATGCAGAGAGTATTGCTACCCACAAATCACACAAGGTATACAGTCTGTGCACAGTGATATGTCACAGCTTTTTATTTATATGGCTAGCTCAGTCTATTCTGCTCCTTTCGCTGCCATGGAAAGTGCATCATTTTCCTCCCTCTATCCTCCTTCCCACATATCATCAGCACCACCCACTATGTTCTGCCTATTAAGTCCTCTGTGTGCCTGAAAACCCCAACAATGATTAAATGCTGATAAAAGAATGTAAGAAGGTTAAGTGATCAACCTATCAACCCCTTTACAGTGCCTCTAAATTATGGGTGGTAAGTATAACTTGGCCCTTTTAACTTTGAAAATAAGGATTTTTATTTGTTTGATTCTTTTTAAGTAGGGAAATGACTGACATTGAAATTTTAAGAAATAGTGGCAAAGACTAAAGAGAATGCAAGAAACTTGCCTTGTTTCCCGTTCTTATCCTAATCTTTCTTTCATGATTTTGGCACATTCTTTATAAGAAAATTTTAGGGTTAGGTTTTAAGGTTTTGTTTATGAGAGGTCTAGAGTTTCTAAACTAACAGCAATTTTTAAATAATTATTATCCTAAACTCACTTAATTAAAAAGTTTTAATTAACTTCAACAATTTATACCAGTCTACTGGTAGATTCATTTGTCCTTACATTCCTACGTGATTTTCAGTTTCCTTTAACCTCCTATAGTAGTGTTCCCTCCACCCTTCCTATGGAAGGAAGCTCATGGTTAAAAAGCTGGGAGCTCAGATCACTAGCTTTTCTTTGGAGGAGAATTTGTGGGTCTGTCACATATCCTAGAAAAGCAACAAGGTAGGAGGAGCTGTGGAATCAAACTCTGTTTATTACACCTTTAATAGTAGGAGTTTTCAAGAACTTTGTCAAGAATTACATTTCATGTTTCAGCTTAAGATAACATGCCATATCATATAGCTTGAATTAATTTTCATCATTCTGTATTTTATTACTACTCAACATTATTATTATTTTTTGTAATAGAGTTATTTTTTTAAAATCCATGATAAATACGTTTTGACCCTTTTCCTCAACAGCTGCAGTGGTGAGGTAGGTCAGGAAACATGCCTCTTTGGAGGCACCCTGGGGATTGAAGGGTAATGAGTACTTAATTGTGTCTGCTGAATACCAGAGCTGCCAAACTGGAGCTCCTGTGACTAGTCTGTATCTGCTCTGACAATTCTTTTATTATGGCTTTCACTAACCTATCGGTAACTAACTGTGGTTGTTTAATTACAGAGGGAACATCCCCACGCTAAACAGGTACCGTATGTTTAGTTTCTTTTCCAATTAAAAGCACCTTTAAAATTTTTTTTAATAACTTAGAATAGTGAAACCAGAGAAAAAAAAATAACACCACACTTGACAAGCTAATGTGGTATCTTGTGCTATGGAGTCCTCAGCTTCCCTTTGGATATACTAAACTACTCTTTCTGTTTGGAAAACATGTCTTCAGCTTTTCTTCAGCTGTTTAAAAAGCAATACTTAAAAATCATCATTACAGAATAGCTCCCATTTAATTATAAGGAGCTTAGTCTGTATGATGTTCAGCTTTTCTGCAGATCTTTTGCTAAGTTTTCTGTCTAGTTTATGACTTTCAGTGGAGAAACTCTTAAGGTTACTCCTATCTTGGCAAATTTTCCACAGTTTTTTCAATTTTTAGTTACTATTGCTCCTCCTTTTAGAGCAATTGAAATCAAGAAATAGCTGATCTCATGTTTTATAAGTTCATTGGGTATTTTTCTAAAGTGTTACAGAGATTTGGAAGAATTTCATTTTAAACCTGTAATAAGATTAACATTGGAAAAGTACATCTAAGTTTTGATATGCTTATCCTTGTGAAGAGGTTTCCAGGCCAAATAACAAAAACGATATTTTAGTACGTATTTTGAGTTCCTCCTGCCTCCTGAGCCAAGCAAGTTAACACACAATGCAAGTTTGAAAGAGTAGCTATTGTAATTAGAATTGAATCCACCAAATGCTAAAGCAGTGATAAGTTGGTAGCAAGCTCTTTGTAATTACAGTGGTACCTCGGTTTATGAACTTAATTTGTTTTACTATTTTGAGAAAGATGGCTGCGTTTGTGTTTGTGTGGGGAAGATGGCCATGGTTGTATTTGTCATCCAATGTGGAGTTTGCAAACAGAAGTGGATTTTTGCTGAATGCTTTTGTTTCAATTTGCAAACAGAAGCATTTGTGAACCGAGGTGTTACTGTAATATTCTACATGGAAATATATATAGGGTTACATTTATTTAGTGCTTCTCCCTTTAAAACATTAGGTGATTGAAAATTGATCAAAGCTTTTACAGCCCAATTTAGATGTGGAAAAGAAAGGGAGATGGTGTTTGTTTATTTGAACCCAGGGCCTTTACACTGAACTGTGTCCCTGACCCTTTTGTTATTTTCTCTTTTGAGACAGGGTCACTAAATGGCTAAGTTATTCAAGCTGGGCTCAAATATGTGATCCTCCTGTTTCAGTGTCCAGGAATGCTGGGATTACAGGCATGTACCACCATGCCACCATGCCTGGCTGCCTGTAAGGGAGTGTTTTTATAGGGCCCTGTAGTCTTCCCTTGGAGAGTAGGCTTAGTTCATGCTTGCCTTCAGCAGCTCCAGCCCATGAACATAGTACTAGAGAGAAACTGAATAGTATTTATCTCCCATGGGGTTCACGTCAGTTAAAACAAAAATTTAATTTCGTGTTTGCCACAAACAGCCTGTTATTTAGAGGAGAGAGTTCTTTTAAATGTTGTCTGGAACCCTTTTATCTTCCCAGTCTACCTGCCAGGCAGGTAGAAAAGATAACCTCACAAATTTCGTCCTTTAGTAAATACATTTGGTGAGCCTAGAAAAGAGGAGGATGATAGCATTTCTGAGTTAAATACACCTCAGAATCCCAGTTTCTAGGGAGCACCATGTGTAAGACTTGCTTGATCTGTGTTTCATTTGTTTGTTTCACTCATGGTATCAATGGTCTCCTCTCCTGCTGTTCCTTTCTATTCTTTAGTACTGTCAAAAGATGAAGTACCTTTTCCATAGTCATCACTTACCAAAGGAATAAAATCCAGGAGTATCAGTCTCCATAGTCTGTGTGAGCAGCATTTCCATCCTGTAAAAAGAATTCCATTACCTTTTACAAGTATGATTTGCAATAGGATACAATAAGTGCCCAACTCACGTGTCCACATTGCTGGCTTTCTTCCCCCTGCAGTGTTGCAGGTATATACTTCAAGATATTTGGGCAGTTCCTCAAGGTGCAGGTACCATTGCCTCACTCTGTACTTGAGTCAGATCCACATGCCGGTAACATGTCAGGAAGCCCAGGAGGCATCCTTTAGCTTGGTCCTTCTTAGCAGACTGTCCTGATTGACTGCATTCAGAAACATCTTATAGTATTATTTATCAGTACATACTGCTGAGGTGCACCAAGGAATATTCCAATTCATTATGGTTTTAGATTGAACAAATCAGTTCAATTTTCTTCAAGCATCTCCATTTAGCAACTATTTGTCATGCTTACACATACTTTGAGACCCATGCTCTGCCCTTTTGTATCTTGCTAGGAATTATTAAGGGCTTTCAATGAAGATATTTTTGCTCTAGTATAGAAGTGTTTAAACATAAAAAGGGAATTTCACAATTTAAGGTTGAAAATGTCTCTCTTTCAAAAAGAGAGAACTATATTTCTAATAACAACTATTCCTGTCAACCCATTAAAGGAAAACATAAATACCTTAATAAAGTTTCTTTTGTAGACTGACTTATTTCTGTAATATTGATAATGCTTTTTATAATGATTTATTCTAAAGTATTCAATTCTTATTTAGAATTATTATCCTGTATAACTATATCTACCTATCTTATCTCTGTATGTGTGAATACTTAACCTATTATAGTTCCTTAAGTGTTCCATAATTACAACCCACTTGGCTGGCATACTTCCCTTTAAAAGAGGGGATGTTTTGGGAAAGGGGAAGATGCAGGACGGTTTTTAACCTACATGTGCTATTCTTATATCAGGCGTATCATAATAATATTAAAACTGGAGTGAAATTCCTGACAGTTCTTAGGTTTCTATATGAAAAAATTTTGGAGTGATAAAAATGTATATGGGGAAATTGAATTGACACATGAATCTAGCAAGACAACCTTATCCACCACAGTGGGTAAAAAAACCAGATCTGCTCTGCAACCTGACCCATCCTCAGAATCTCCTCCCATCTCCCTTTTCTTATTATTACTCTCCCAGTCTGCACTTCTAATGAACTTCATTGAATTACCATTTAGAATGTCCTTCTCCTCCAACCTCAACCACTATGGCATGACTCATGTAGCTAGTGTCAGCGATGTGCTGTTGGACAACTCCTTCACTCCACCATGTCAGCGAATGGGTGGAATGGTCTCTTTTCGAACTTTTGAAGATTTTGTCAGGTAAGACATTGTGGGACTCTGTCTGTACAAGAGATGCCATAGATTTCTCTGTTTTAGGTTCTCACCTTTTAAAAAAAATAAAGATCCCAGGAATGGCCATGAGCCAGCTAAGGAGATGTTGCTCTTACTGTATCTCTCCTTGGAGAGGTATTTATTCAGGCTGTACAAGCCTCTGCTTGTAGTATGAGCCTGGTCAGGAAAAAAAAAAATCATCTTTTCCTTAGGAGCTAACTGAAGAAGCTGTCCGCTCTGTGATGAGTGAAATGTCAGGAGAAATTAAACACAACACTAGAGTGAGCCCTACCAGAGACGATACATCTTTTGATTAAATGCGTTCAGCATCTATCTCTTGATGTATACTGATGCATTACCCTAGGGGGAAGGGTAATTACATTGGTCTGTCACTGCTTCAGTCTCAGGCTCTTTCTGTTACTTTAAGACCGATGATGACAGCAGTGCTTATATCTTACATATTGAAAAAACAAAAAAAGCTTTAGATCATTCTTTTTAAAAAAAAAAAATATATATATATATATGGTTTATTAAAGTTTAAACAATCCATCCACCTAATTTCTGCCACTTGGTGAAATTTTGCATGTCATCTCTAGCCACTGGTGTTTCTTTTTGGTTGACTATTGAGTACAAGGTAGGATAGATTATTCTTTTAGACTCAGCTGCCAATGGCAGCATTAGTTTCCTGCCAGTTAGATTTTCTGCCACTTGGGTTTTCATGGTGGATGTTTCTCTGGTATTTTTCAGGATCTTTGATGAAGTGATGGGCTGCTTCTGTGACTCCCCACCCCAAAGCCCCACATTTCCAGAGGCAGGCCATACATCTTTATATGATGAAGACAAGGTATTGTGTCCTCTTTGGGAGAATGGTTTGTTCTTTCAGACATGCGACTATACACTATATACTTTCTGACTTTGGAATATTATGGAGAAGAATTAACCTTTTTATCCTACTTTATATGTATTATTTAATTTTGTATGGGGCGACAAAGTTTTTTGGAAATAGGTGGAAAATAAATTCTAAATTTAAAAAAGTTAAATTGGAATATTAATCTTGGAGTCTATAGTGTAGAATGGGTTCAAATATATTTTTTCCAGCTGCCTCTGGGTGTCTGAGTGTTATTTTAAAGATTTTTAACTTTGATTGCTCAAATTCTTTTTTTTTTTTTTTTTTGGTACCGGTGATCGAACTCGGGACCTTGCGCTTGCGAGGCAGGCGCTGGAGCCACTGAGCTAAATCCCCGGCCCTGATTGCTCAAATTCTTACCCAGTGATGGCTTGTATCTTTTTTTTTTTTTGTACCAGGGATCAAACTCAGGTCCTTGCACTTGCAAGGGAGGCGTGGTGCCACTGAGCTAAATCCCCAACCCAACTTTTATCTTTTCATAATGGGGCTGTTATAGTCCTTAGAGAATAGTGGACTTTAGACTTCAGAAAAATAGACATTTTATTGAAAACTTTGTCCTTTTATTATCCCTTCTTTTCATCTCTTAGTAAACAAATTGTTCTGTTCTTATCCTACATCATGCTATATTTCACGATGGTTCGATACTTGTTTGATAAACTGTAAGGAAATATATAAGAATATGTTCACATGACTTCTTTAACACATTTCTGTTCACATTCTGTGAAGAGATGTAGCAAATAGAGCAAATAAATTGTTCCATCCCTTTTTGTTGGTGACAAAGCTGAGACACAGTGATTTTCAAGTTCATGTCAAGTCAAAATTTGAAGCCACCTCTAGCTAATGCCTTTGCTGCTTTATCTTTTATGTGCTTTATTTCATCTCTGTTGTGGCTACTGAGCAGTAGCTTCAATTTTCTTATTCCTACTGATTGGCAAACCAAAATATCCTATGGGGGTGTGCCTTTTCCACCTGTTCCACCAGGTACTATAACTTCTTCCTGCTTCTGTAGTAGCCAGCCTCATGATTTCTTTGGTTTGTGCCTTGGGTTACAGGTCCCCAGGGATGAACCAATTCACATTCTGAATGTGGCCATCAAGACTGACTGTGATATTGAGGATGACAGTCTGGCAGCTATGTTCAGAGAGTTTACCCAGCAAAATGTAAGTCCTTCATTGAGTGGGAAGCTGGTGGTCCCTTTCCTGCCAGTTGTACCATAGTCATCATTTTTTCAGTTGCTACTTGTAAGGCTTATTGTTGATAATGGCTATGTATTTTATCATAAGTATCAGAACTACTGCTAATTTTGCCTGTAGAGATAAAATTTCAAAGTAATTTAATGATATATAATGGATCTCTTATGTCAAAAATACAGACCTAGAAAAGAAATGCCCACCCATCTGAGATACTTAAAATGTTTTTAAGGGAAGTTATGTTCCTAAAATTCTCTCTGAGCTCCATTCTTAAGTTTTCAGTCATCTGCTGAATATTTCCCTTTGGTGACTTGACATTACATGTGTACAGTCAAATCCTATCCAGATCCCTCTGTGTCCTTCCCTTAAAAATACTGTACTTCCATCCTCCTTTCAGTTTTATGCCACTTGAATATCTCATGTTGACATCAAACTTCCTAGTTTAAACTTAAATTCTCAGTTAAATGTAGTAGCAGATACCTGTAATTCCAGAACTCTGGAAGGCTGAGGCAGGAGGATCTCAAGTTCTAGCCCATCCTGGGCATCTTAGTAACTTAGGAAGACCCTGTCTCAAAATTTAAAAAACAAAGAAGAGCCAGGGATGTAGCTCAGTGCAAAGGCCCTGGATCCAATCCTCAGTGTTAGGAAAAAAAATTTCTACTGGGTATGCTCCTGCACACCTGTAATCCCAGCACTCAGGAAGCTGAGAGTTCCCAGCTGATTGCTGGGAATTCAAGGCCAGTTTGGGCTACATAGTGAGTTCAAGGCCACACCCTGAATTACATAAGGAGACCCTGTCTCCAAACAAACAAACCCTCCCAAAACAAAACAAAATAAAAATGTCTTTACCCTTCATCAAGGATGTTTTCTCCTCCTTCCCTCCCTTCTTTTTTCCTTCCATTAATGTTGAGAACTGTCTCAAATTTAATCTCACTGATGAGGACTTCTGAATAGCTAACTAAAATGTATTTTTATCTCTTGAAATACTAGTTCACCACCAAATATTTATTAGCAATAATATATTTCATTTATAAGGAACTTCTATCTAAATTTATTTACACTTTACTGCAGTCTCATTGGATTAGATAATTCAGGAGTTATACCATTTGTACACATGGAGAAAATCTCAAGCTGAGAGATATTAAGGCCTCTTGGTCCCCAACTGCAAGATGACAGAGCAGAGATTGGAATTCAGGGCTTTGGTGCTGGCTCTGGGGCCAGAGATCCAGGAGCTTTAGTAAATAATGTATTCTTAGATCTGAATGAAAATGCTTATGGTCTAGTTGAGAATACTGGATAGGTATGTTTAAAACAAGAATGTACTGTGCAGCAGTTACTTTTTTGTTGTTGTTGTTGGTGGTGGTGGTGGTGGTGGTGAGAATTAAAACCAACTACACTGAGCTATAGCCACGGCTCCTACAGTTGTATTTCACTATGGTATGTGTTAAGTGCCAGTGTATAAATTGCTCTTAATACCCAGAGTTGTGTTCTTTTTGAATAACAGCAGAGAGCACATGGTGCTTATTATAAAGATCTCAATATAGCGCACCTATAATCTCAACATTCTGGGAGGCTGAGGCAGGAAGATCAAGAGTTTGAGCCCAGCCTGGAAAACTTAGCAAGATTCTGTCTCAGAATGGGATGGGATGGGATGAAATGGAATACAATGGGCTGGGGATATAGCTCAGTGCAGGGCCCTGGGTTCAGTCTCCAGTACCACAAAACAATAGCAAAAACAATAAAACTCAATAAACCAGGTGTGGTGGCACACACCTGTAACTGTAGCACTTGAAGCTGAGGCAGGAGGATCATGAGTTCAAGGTCAGTTTGGGCAACATAGTGAGACCCTCCCACCTCCTCCTAAGAAACCTCCTCAGAAAAAAGAAAAGAAAAAGAAACCTCCTCAACAAATGTTTTTAAAATTTAATTCTGCAGTGTAAACTATTAGTACCATTAATATTCATATGTAATGCTGATGGTAGATACCTACAGGGAAAATGGCAACTTTGTGACTAACATCAGCATTTATTCTATGGTGCTCTCAGACTGACTCTGGGATTTCAGAATAAAAAGATAAAAGAATAAAAAGGTAATACCAGGGCCTCATGTGTGCTATGCAAGTGCCCTACCAGTGAGCTACATCCTCAGCCCCTGGGAATTCTTCCATACAAGAGAAACTTACCTTCCTTCTTGCGCTTGGCTAGTGACCACATAAAATTAACCCGAAGCCAGTGACAAAGTACTCTTAGTGGGACAGTCCTAATGTGGCTGCTGTTGCTTCATGGAATAAATCTACGAAAATTTCTCCCTAGCTTTTGAGGCTCACTAATTATCCGTATTTGACTATTTTTCCATAATTTGACCACAATTTTTTTTTGTTACCTTCAGAACTAAGTGTTACTTATCATCACACAGTTGTTTGAAGAGATGGTTTCTTTGTTTTCACTACTTGCATTTGTAACATTAATAAGCAATAAGGTATTACTTTTTTTCCCTTTCCAGACTTGTAAACTGAGTCATGGGGAAAATCTAGTGCCTGCCTAAGACTGTGTAGAGGAGTTGGGTAGACTGTGCTGACATTCCAAGCCTAGAGAACCTATTTAATGTACCAGGTACCATGCTTATACAGGAATATTTGGCATTTTCATCTCCTTATTTTAATAATATATATAAGGAGGAAAAGCAATTTAAGAAAAAAAGCTTAAGTGATAACTAGTTTTGTTTTTCACTTCATGATCATGCTCCTAGCAGTTTAGAAAAAGTTTTTTTAAAGCATACATTAAACTATCAAATAGGTTCATCCAAATTGTCCAAATAATCTTCTAGTCCCAGCATGTCTTTTTTTCTCTCATAGAAATTAGGATCATATATTTGTAAATGACTTGTGGAGGAGATTGAAGCAGTCAGTGTAAATGGAGTTTCTCCAGGTGCTGATGCCTAATCGCTGGGTAATAGCTGTGGACTTGCTGTGAGACCCACATTATTACAATGTAATCAGAATCCTGTTGCTCTGCTGTTATTGTCAGCCACTTGTGGAATTTTAAAAGCAATAACAATTTTGATTTTAAATCATGGCATTATTAAAGTTATTTTCTTCCCTTGCCAGAACATAGCTATTGATGCTTGTCTTTGAAGGACTTGACTGTAGTGGAATTCTTTGTTGGTGTCATAAGAACTATTTCTGTCCCTGGGCACAGTGATAGTCTGAGCCTCATCACACCACCTTTCTTTCTACACAATATTTTCTTTTCTTTTAAGACAAGGTCTCATTACATAGTGCAGGCTGGCCTTGAACTTACTATGTAGCCCAGGTTGGCCTCAAACTTTCAACAATCCTCCTGCCCTAGCATCCTGAATGCTGAGATTACAAGTATGTACCACTAATGCCTGGCCTACACAATATTCTCTTATTGTAGTGTCACTGTTTGGTTATTTACACTAAAAGGCATGATGACAGTATGGATTTTTTAAATAATATGATCAGGTCAAATTAATATTTGACCTAGGAACTAATTTTTAGAGTTACTTTACAAAAATTTCATTTTCCCAGTTACTTTTTGCTTGTACTGTACTGTGTGTTTTTTTTTTGGTACTGGGGATCGAGCTCAGGTCCTTGTGCTTGCTCAACAGGCAGCGAAACCACTGAGCTAAATCCCCAGCCCCTTATACTGTACTGTTAATGAAATCAATTTTATTACTCAGTGGTACCATAGCAGAAATAGAAAAATGGAGGAAATGATCCAAGAACACGCTTCTTTGGAAGAGGAAGCCAGTTTGGATTGAAAAAATAATCACAGCATCAAGAAAGTTAAGAACTGGCTCATGAAGTAACTCTAAGTTAGAGTTATAGTGAGGAATGTGATCAAATTAAAGTCTGCATGGGGGTTGTGAAAATCCACATTTTTTCTGTTTGTACTATTCATAAGTTCTCTTGAGTCATTTAATTGGTGAGATTGCTTTTCTACTTGTTGCCATGTAGCCACTTCATTAGGGACCATTTAAAGCATGTCTTTCACTTAATTCATACGGTTTCTAACTTTTGGAATAAATATGCAGTATAGGATAGAGAAAGGCTTAGCTTCAGAGGTCTAAGACTCATATAAGAGTCTGCCTTGAAACTGTGGTCTCTGATGACTTTTAATGTACTCCCTGAATATGCCAAGTAGAGATAGGAATGATCCCTAAATTTAAAAGCTTGTTAAAGCATTGCTTTTAACTATTTCTAAATGGAATCTAAAAAAACAAAATGAAACCAAAAAAGTTCATGTAAAGTAAAGGGGAACTGTTTTAGAAGAACTGGAAGGTTAGCATTTGTTAGGCTGAATTCTCGCAGTGCTGTTTCTGGTGGTAGGTGATACATATCTATAATCTAAACAACAGTTGAGAATCTGTATTTTCTGTTTTATAGAAAGTTCTTTATTTCTCTCTGCCTGATTTCACTTAGTAGCTTATATTTCACATTTGCTTGCCTCTTGGTGTGTAGTTCAGGCTAGCCTTGAACTCACTATGTAGCCCAAGCTGCCCTCAAACTCATGGTGATCCACCTGCCTCGGCCTTCTGGGTGCTAGGATTACAGGTACATGCCACCATGCCCAACCAACAGTGAGATTTCTATAAACACACATTGTCTTAAGACTTACCTTGATGTGAATCAGTTCTTTTAGAACTTAGGTGATTTTGTGTAATCTTTTATCTTCCACAAAATTCTCATTCAATTTTGTCCAGACCAATGTAAAGCCTATTCCATGTGACTTAGTCCTAGGACCCATCTTAAAATTTGTTTATTTGCAGATTTGAGGGTCCTGAGCTGAGGTGCAGATATCCAAAAAGGTTGCTTAGTCCAGTTAGAGTTTTATGAGGGCTGAATGGGATGAAATTTAGAATGAATGGAGATATCATCTATTTTCTGTGTTATGTGTTTGTTCATAGAAAGCTACCCTGGTTGACCATGGGATTCGGCGCCTTACTTTCCTGGTTGCACAAAAGGTATTGATTGACAAATGTGAATTGTATCTTTCTAATATGTCTTAGGCTACTGGAAAAATTTTAAAAGTAAAAATAGGATTATAATAATATGCATATTCAATTTATTCAGAGAAATGGCTGCTTTTTAAATAAATTTAATTATTAAAATATTAGATTTGGGATTCTGGGAAGGACTTTCAAAATTCATCACCTGTTACTCAATTCATATTTAATGTTATTACTAATTGCCAGTTTCTGCTGTTATTTCTTGTTTTCCGTCTTTTATATAAAAGGATTTCAGAAAACAAGTCAACTGTGAGGTGGATCAGAGATTTCATGTAAGTAAAAGGACAATTATGAAAGATAACTCACAGTTTTATCTGTTTGCCACTGATTAAACAGAATATGTGTGACTTGTTTATAAGGGTTAGACTGTTGACATTTGGTCCATCTTATTTATTTACTTATTTATTGTGATACTGGGGATTGAACCCACTGCGTTTGCACTAAGGTACATCCCCAGCGTTTTAAATTTTGAGATATGGTCTCACTAAATTGCTAAATTGGACAGGTTTGGCTCAAACTTACAATTCTCCTGCCTCAGCTTCCCAGAGTGCTGGGGTTACAGGTGTGCACCATTATGCCTGGCTTGATTTCTCTTTTAGAAGGTATTATAATGCATTTTTAATTCTTTTGTCAAGTGTTCCAGCTAAAGATTTTTCCTTTATTTTTTTAACTCTATCATGAATTCTTAGTGTATCTCTGAGAAATAGGTAAGAATAAGCATATACATTTCTCCAGATAAGGTAGAAACAGGAGCTGGTTAGCACATAGTGATTCAGTATCACTGTGTTGTACTTTGGGATTTTGGCAGGTGAATTCAAGTTCCACTATCAAGAAATCCCAATTCTAAAGTGCAAGAATTTATTATTTAAAATGCCATAATAAAGCCCAAAGTACCTTTTTTGTCTTATGTTAATTATAAGAGGAAATAAAAATTGAGCATTCTGTTGTTTGTTCCTCCATGTGAGTGAATTAACTGCTAACATTTATCAGATTAAAAGTTTTATTGAAACAAGAGTTAAGTTAATAGCCTGACATCCTAACTATGGGATATGCTTGTGATCATACCCTGTATGACAGCAGTAAGTCCAGAAATCAGTTTTTCAAATCAGGATGTCATTCTCAGAGTGACTGATTTTAGTTACAGTGTTCCATTAAAAGTCATTCTAATGTAGCTAAATAACATTCCAGAGCTTGTTAGGAACTGTTAATTTTTCTGATAAAAATTTTTATTTTATTTTTTGTTTGTTTTAACATTTAAGATATTAAGTTGGTTTTCAAGCCCTATTCAGTTTGCAATAATGGAGATAACATTTGGGGTTCCAGAAAGGACTTTCTAAACTCAAGGACCTCAGTGTCATTGCTTTTATTGCCCTTTTGTTTATTAGGTCTCTAGCACTTGACATTTTGTTTTCCCTCATACAGTTCACCTTGCTGATCTAGTCTATACAGAAACAACAGTCCACCCTGCCAGCTAAAGAGCTAAGATTTTCTGAAAAGCTTTAGGAAATGTTGTGGGCTACACAACTCCCTTGTGTTATTGATGTCAGGAAATCAAGCAGAGTGCAAATATATATAAATCAATAACTTTAAATAGGAAACTGGAGTCAGTGGAGAAGTATGAGGAGCTTAAAGAGAACCCTGGGGCTTTAGGAAGAAAAATCGGAAGCTTAGAGAATAAAATTGATACTTGGGGATAGAATATGAGAGCCTACAAATAAACACTGGCTGGGGTAGATGCTGATCAGATAGACATGCCAGAACCAGGCATAGGTATTTGGAGGAGTGTTGGGGTAGGTTAGATTCTTAAATGCTAGTATGCTTTTTTGAGTATTTGGCTTTGGAATTATATTATTCTGTTATTCTGGAGAGTGATGCTGAATTTGTAAAATTGTTTTCCTTTTTACTAATGTTGCAGACCAAGTCTTCACATCTGTAGCATGCTCACTGGTTTCCTATAGTAAGAGTTCCATGATGAAATAAAACCTTTCACTAAAAAAATTTTTTTTTCTGGTACCAGGGATCAAACTCAGGACCTTGTGCTTGCCAGGCAGGCATGGTGCCACTGAGCTACATCCCCAACCCCACTAAAAAATTTAAAAAGCCAAAATTATTAGATCTCACTAATTTTAGATGTGAAACACATTTTTAAAAAAACTTTTAATCTATGTCATGTCCTAGAGTATATCTAATGGCTTTCAAACAGTTTTTTTTCTACCTACTATCCTGATATTCTGAATTTAGGATGAGTGAGGACATGTATAGACAAAATCTGCTAGGAAATTAGGCCAGCAGGGAGCCTTCCCTGGGAATCATTGTCTGGTTCCTATTTTATAGTAACATCAAGTGGGAAATCAGCAAAATTATCCAGTGATTTGATTTGTCATAAGTGTAAGAAAGGCTGATTTGGAGCATAGAGAACATTAAGGTGTAGGTTTGGGATGGATTTGTTTTAAAGAATTGAATTGCTGGGGAATTGGAGTGCTTTTATTTTGGGCTTTTTAGAAATTATTAGTGGTTTCACAGGGGGCAAGGGCAACTATTACTAAACCCCATCCAGGATCTAAAATAGCCAAGAAGTCTTAGCAGAAATTGTACATATCCAGGGTTTACTGTCATGGTGCTGCTAAGTTATTCTGTTGGTGGTTGCTTGCCATTCACGAAGGATGCTTAGCCTCTGTCGTGTCATCCGATGTGTGCTTGGCCCATAGTTAGTGTAGTGTGAAAAAGAGGAAGCTTTCTAGGAGTGTTAGAGATGAATCCCTTGATCTCTTGGGCTTCTTGGTAATCCACTGTGATATATGCAGCCTCCCCTGTTCTACACTGTGAAATCCCTACATTACTGAATAGAAGAGAGAATGTGCACTTGAAGGAAGGTTACCAAGTTTTGTTGAAGAACAACATTGGTTGGTGTGAAGTAAAGCAAGCTGTTATGTTTTGTAATTGTGGGTCTCTCAGACTGCATCTGAACCAGAACAAGACAAGTGAAGGCCAGAGGAGAGGTTCCTAGAGAGTATGTACACTGGGAGTTGTTTATTCAGATGCGGGTGAAGCCTATAAACATCTCCAATACTTCATTGTGCAATTACTGTAGTCCCCAGAAAGCTGGCCACAGATAGATCTGTTGTTACCTTAGTTTCTTGATAGTACATGGAGACCTGTTTTGAGACAGCAGTGTTCACCAGCAGTACAAAGATTCAGTGTTGAATTCGTTTCCTTAACCGTCTACTTAAATCAAGTACCCATGATAGGTCTTGAATAACTGCTTAAAATTGATATTTAAAAAGAAGTTTGAGGAAAAATAAATCTATCTTTGTAAATATATTCTTTGTACTTAAAAATACCTTAAAAGCATAAAAAAGAAGCTCCTTGAAATTTTGCGGCTCTCTAAGCTGCATTTCTAGAGTTTTATGTTGGTTAAAATTCACCAATTTACCCTTTGTTATTTCACTCACATTTCAGATCTGGAATTCCAAAAAATGCAGCAGAAAGTGCTAATTGGGATGCTTTTTTTCTTTTTTAAGCTTTCTGCATTTTTTTTAGCCAAGATTTTTAGATACTAAAATGGGTATTTTCAAGATTTCTTTCCCCTTTTCCCCTCACTGAAAAAAAAAATCAGGTCCAAAATCTGATGAGAGTCTAAGTCAGTTTTGAATCTATTAATAAAATGTTTTCATTTCTTGCATCTAAGATTTTATGAGATTTTAAAAATTGCTACTGTTCTCTCAAGGTGATTGTTGTATGAGTGGCTCCCACTCTAAAATTAAATGTTTTGGATTATTTGGGCCTTGAGGAAAGAACTCACTAAAATGAAGCTATCATGATTAGTTCACTTTCTTTTCTATTTTCTTTTCTCTCTTTCTGATTTTTAAATGTAGTTCTATTTGCTGGTGGACAAACTATTAGTTTTCAGAAGGTTTTGTTTGGGTTTTTGTTTTAATTACAGTCTATATAATTAGTTCTCAGCACGTTGAGGTAAAAGAGAATTGCACCAGCAAGCTCCCAATTTCTTCATCTCATTAGGTTTTTAACACGATTATTAGTATCATAATCAGCTATGATGTTTTCTGTTGCAGGTTTTCACATTCTCTGATTTGCAGGGTGTCTTGATTGGCTAATTTAGGCAAATTATTTTGATTGTCTTTGATGATGGTTGGCTGATTAGAGCACAGCAGGGGTATAATTTCTTCCTGAGAAATGTTTCATTCTTTTGTTTTTGGTACCAGAACACTAAGAGGGTTTTTCTTTGTGTACATTCAATTATGATATTTGCCCACAACACTAGTAGAATGCCTGGAAAGCAATTACATTAGTGATGGAATAAGCATGAATGCTGTGGAAAAGTTGGCAGCATGAAGATGAGGTTTGAGATGAAGGAATTTACTAAGATCAAGGTATCAGATTTTTGAATTTCTTCTTTTCTGTTTCCTGTGACTGTTTTTTTTTGAATGCCAAAGGAGATGACTTTATATAAAAGTCTTCAGTCTTCTGGTCTCCCAAAGAATCGCGTGATGGTCCTACTTTCCCATTTCACAGATTCTCTTATCATCTCTTCTGAATGTTGAATATTTAAGTTATGAATTTTACTGTGGAGTTAAACATTTACTCAGAAGTTAAAGAAAAAAGTTTAGTTATATCATCTCATGATACCTTTTCTCAGCTAACCTTGATCAAAGTGATTTTTTTTAAATTGGTGGTGGTTGCTCAGTCTTTTTACTACAGATAGTTCATTCTCCACCAAGAGTTAGTCTCTTTCCTTATTTGTAACAAAAGTATTTCCATTTAGACTGCTTTTCATGCTTTTTACTATACATTTCTTTAATTGGTATAGAGGAAAAGAAAGCATTTTTTGGTTAGGAAAATGATACAATGTACATAACTGAGTAAATGTTATAACAATGAAATATTTTCACTAATTAGCTAGTAAAAGTTTGGGTTGAATAGAAAAGTTTATGCTTAAAATTTGCATTATCACTTTCCTTCACTTTTCTTTCAGAGTTCCATATAAAGATTTTACTACTTTGCAATGTGTTACTTTTTAAGTGATACTCTGAAAACTAGACTAAGAATAAAACCAAAACTTAGATTATATAAAGCTGTGGGCATAGATCTACTGACGGTATACTGATTGTCTTCCTGCTTAACCTGGAAGTTATCCCCATGTGCTCTACTGTCACTGGGGCAGGGAAGGGGAATGCATCAGAGCATTATTTGGAACACATCAGTCCTGTGTAAAATACACTTTCAAAGGCTTTTAAAGACCCCAACTCTGGTCAAAGGATTTCCCTGGATTTGGTAAATGAATTCCTAGAAGTCTGTTAAAATTATTTTTATATTTAAGTACCAAAGAAAATGTAAAACTGTTTATTAACTATGCAAGGTGAGGGTGAGGTATAACACCTGTGGAAAATATTCAAGAAGTTTTTAGTAAATTCTTAAACCAAAAGTTTCAGCATGATTTTTGGGGTTACTTTCTGCTTTTTTCCCTTAAAGTCTTAATTTTTGGTCCCTTCCCCCATCCAAAGAGAAGTCCTCTAAGGGATTTGGATTATAACAAGAATAGAAAGATAATACCCTGTACTCCAGAAGTAAAATGGCATGGGCTCTGACATTAGAGAAATGGAAGTTTATTTCTGGCTTTACGATCTTGGGCATATCACTTGAACCAAGGTTTGCTCATCTGTAAAATGGGGGTCGTAATTCCTCCCATGAGAGGTTATTGAGAGTGTTTAATGGGACAACACATGAGAATGCCTGCCACCTAGAAGATTTTGAGTCCACGCTTTGAGTCCATGGTTTCTAAACCCCGTTGAGTATGGAGGCAGCTAGTCCTGGTCTCTGCCTTGTACCAATAAGTGTTTGATTATATTGCACTCATAATGAAGAAGATGCCTAATGAAACCTCCTATAGAGGCAAATAGTAATGACTTGATTCCAGCACTGCCAGTAGAGCTTCCCATCCAACAAACAGGGGTATTTGGTGTTAATAAGTTAAATTTCAGAAACTAATGAACTCTGCTAATTGAATTCATCTTTGTTAATTAATAAGGTTCGAGTAAATTGGTTGCTTGCTTTTGTAATGTTCTGCAAAAGAGCAGTAAGACCTAATGATTACAAGTTTATCGGTTCTACCCCTTTCTTTCCTTTACATAAGAGTGGAAGCAATCAAAATAGCATATAATATTTTCTTTGTCTCAAAATGTCATTTAAACCCTTGAAATTATTGACTTGAGAATGAATGTGAATGGAAGAAAAACACACAAGAAAAATTCTATAGAAGTAGAGAACCTTTGGCATGTATGCTGCAGCTTAGCTGGCTGTTTGTTATGATTGAAAGCCCTTCGCCATCACTATTCTATAGTGTCTGTTCAGTTTACATTTTAAGAGTTTTTTTAAGGAGAAACTTGGTAAATCAGTCCAGTAACTATTATTGCAGTGACTACCAATTAAGGCTATATTGGTTTTATTTGCCAGGTTAATCCAAGAGGAGCACTCAGGAAGCATCCCCCTTGAAAGATGAAAAATATACGTTGTTTTTTTTTCCTTGTGGGAGGGTAGATACAAAGTTAGGTTAATAGTGTGGCAATTCTCAAATTCAAAGTGGGGTCAAAGTGATGGTTACCTAGAGGATCATTTCTATTCCTTGGATTAAGCTTAGGTCAGAAGCATGTTTTCTAGGAAACTGTCTTCTAGATGCTTGACTGCTTCTATACTTTGTTTACCCCCAAAGAGTCATATCTGTGAAAGACTGACACATTTTTCCCCTTTTATTTAACACAGAGAGAATTCCCTAAATTTTTTACGTTCCGAGCAAGAGATAAGGTAAGGCCTGATTCTTACCGTCATCCCAACACCTCTATACTTTAAAATCATTTTTTTTCTTAAAAGCCAAGAATAACTTATCTTTGCCGTTCTCTTTTCTCTGATTTAATCTGTTCCTTTTACCTTACATGTGTCTTAAAACTAAAGCACATTCCATAAAGAGTTTGGTTTAGGAAACAAACATTTAAGCCACCCAAAGAAAGTGGTAACTTTAAAAATTATCACTATCCTTTAGAACAATCCTAATGATCTGATATTAAAGGACTATTATACTCAGTAGGATTATTCTTTTCATCTATAGATAGTTCACGTATATTCAGTTCATTTATATTCAATTTTTTATGTACATTTTTCAATTTTAAAATACAAAAATCCAGGCCATTTTGTTTCTTTCCTATTACCAGATTGTATTTTTGTCTCTGTTCATCAGTTGGCATGTATTCTGGAAAAACAATTTAATTTCAGTAAAACGTAACAGTACGTGTACTAATACAACTCTTTAAAAAATATATACATAATTATGTATCTATGGATATAGTATGTTCCAGAGCCAAGTATCTGTTATGTTCTTTGTGTACTGTGTCTTAAGTGGTAAGACATGAGTCCTACCCTTAAGTATTTGAGACTAGTTGAGTCACCCTAAACATCAGCATGTGAAATGGATATTAATGTGAAGCAGTCTGTAGTTAATTATTTTATGACATTAGGTACTTTAGGAATTCTGAGGGAATTGAAGTTTTTGGCTTGTTTGTGTTTTTATTTTTAATGGAGAGCATCACCACTTGTAAAAACATAAATGTTGAGGGCCAGGGATTTAGCTCAGTGGTGTCGTCGCTTGCCTTGTAGGCTCAAGGTCCCAAGTTCAATCCCCGGTACCAAAAAAAGAAGCCATAAATTTTGAAAGCTTGGGAAGTGAATATGCACCTTGGCTCCTAATCTTATATAATAGAGCAGTAATCTTGTATGTAGCTCATTTTTGTTGTGCATTAGCCCATCATAGCTTCTGTTTCTACTTTCAAATATCTCTTTCACCTACACAATTAGAATAAAATTTTGTAACTGCCTTTAATAGGCTCCTTCCCAACCTTTTTTTTCTGATTCTTATGCTCAGTTTGAAGAGGATCGTATCTATCGTCACCTGGAGCCTGCTCTGGCTTTCCAATTAGAGCTGAACCGGATGAGAAATTTTGACCTTACTGCCATTCCTTGTGCTAATCACAAGATGCACCTGTATCTTGGGGCAGCCAAGGTAGAAGTGGGCACAGAAGTGACAGACTACAGGTTCTTTGTTCGTGCAATTATCAGACATTCTGATCTGGTCACTAAGGTAAGTGCTGTACTTTAATGGGAAGTTATCCCTGTAGGAACGGACAGAGGAAATGGGCATGGTTCAAAATCAGGTTTTCATTGTTTGAATGAAGGTTCTCATTCTCTTCTTACTCTCCAATAACCAGCAGATGTCTATGAGTAATTTCTCACCCAAAAGTTAATATTCCAAATAAAGTCTTACTTTTCTTTAATCTGATTTTTCTTGGTAGTGGAAATATGATAGCACTCACTTGAGAAAAAGAAAAGTATGCTAAAAGAAAAATCACAGTGAGTTGAGTAATGATAGAGAATAAGGAGAAAAGTTAGGAAAGAGGTAACTCCACTGTAAAGTTTTCTGGAGGTATGGGTTATGACTATATATAGCAAGGACTTCCTGTTGTGTTAGCTATTACTGCTCCCCATAGTCATAGGCTTTCTTCATCTTCTCATTTCTAAATAGTTTTCTTTTCTGAATAGCTCTGTTTGACATATGTGAAATATAATCCTCTTGGGGTTATAGCTCTGGAGATGCCTAGCATCTCCACCTGTTAGTAGGAAATGATACACTAAGGGGCAGGAGAAAGGGCTGGCAGGGCCTTTGCTTCCTCTTGCTACTTGTGGTTACTGGACTTACTCTAAAGAGAAAGGTGAGCAATGTGATGTCTTAGCCTGGTTCCTTATGATTTATAAGGTACTGTTAAGTAATTATAATTAAAGCACATTAATCTTGGTGATTTTTTTTCCCCCTGTATAGGAAGCTTCTTTTGAATATCTACAAAATGAAGGGGAGCGGCTACTGCTGGAAGCCATGGATGAGTTAGAAGTTGCTTTTAATAATACAAATGTCCGCACTGACTGTAACCACATCTTCCTCAACTTCGTGCCCACAGTCATCATGGACCCATCAAAGGTACATTTGTCAGCTTCTCTCCTGGCACTAGCAAGCACAAGCAAAGAGATTTATTTGTACCTATCTGACTTGGACATGGAAACGGGTATTCTTGTTTAGTAGATTGAGTCATTAATCTTTAATGTTTTCAGACTGCTTATTACACTGAGTTTCTGAGACAGTCAAAAATTTGCTATAGCAATTAAGAACAGTCCTCAAAACTAAAGGTTATGTGGGGTTTGCTTGCTGGTTGTTTATAAGCAGTGTAAACTCTTTCTCCACTGGTACCAGTTTCATGATATTTTCCATCATATTTTATATTATTCCCTGGGATTTTCCATCTGGAGTGATTAATTTTGCCACTAGTAGGCATTTTAGCTAAATTGCTTCTGTGCACTAAATATTACTTACCTAGCAGCCCTAGTAGGATAAGGCACCTTCCCAAAATGTCTAACTTATTTCTCATTAGTACTTTCCTACAAAGAGAGAATTTGAGTGATAGAAGTTTCACATATAACACATCTATTTTCTTCTTGAGGCTCTATTCTAAAATACATTCTATATAACTTAAGGAAAGAAAACAAGGAGACTCTCTATTTGCCCTTTTATCCTAGGTGTAATACAGACAGACTACACTCTGATTCTGCTCTCCCTGACTTTCTCTCGTGATACTGTGGAATTTAGATAGAATAACCAGTCTTCCTTTCTCATGATCAATTGGAGGCATGGACTTTCGTTTTTTCAACTTACTAAGACCTGAGAAACAGTTTCTACTTTTTTCTTCAAAACTGCGAGCTAATGATGGGTTACTTTTATCTGTTAGGAAAGTGAAGGACAGGACTCAAGTTTCATCACGTTAAAAATTTCTCATAAGGCCGAGGATGTAGCTCAGTGGCACCGTGCCTGCCTGGCAATCACGAGGTCCTGAGTTCGGGATTCCCAGACCTGAGAAAAAAATTTCTCATAACAATTCTGGGACTGAGGCAGTTGTAAGGCTTAAAACACAGCCTAGGCCAGGGATTTAGCTCAGCGGTTCCACCACCTGCCTTTCAGGAGCAAAGACCCGAGTTCGATCCCCAGTACCAAAAACAAACAAACAAAAAACAAAGCCTGGACACTGGATAACATTATATATGTTTTAGATTTGGCTTGTCTTTTTTCAGATAATTTTTAACATCAGACTTTTTGCTTCCACTCTAAATACTCACGTGCCCAGGCTCTGCTTTTCTAGTCACATGTAGCTAGCTGTCAATTTTCTGCACATAGAGATTGTTGGCTTTTTTCCTCTCAAGAAAATAATGGATAAATATCTCTTGGTTAGAAAGCAAGTATGGGAATAGAAAAGTTAACTCCTTGAAATCCATTCTAAGGTAAAATTCTGTAGTGCAGAAACAAACTGCAGAGTGGCACATAGTACTGCAGAACCACAAGAGAAGGAGAATATTAGATAAAATTTTGAGGGTTTTTGTTTTGTTTTGTTTTTCAGTACTGAGAATTGAACCCAGGGAGCACTGAGCTTCCCTAGCCCTTATTTATTTATTTTTTATTTTAACACAGAGTTTCACTATGTTGCCCACATTGGCCTTGAACTTGCAATCCTCCTGCCTCAGCCTCCTGAGCAGCTGAGATTAAAGGTGTGTACTACCATGCCTGGCTAATTTTCAGATTTTTTGAGGAAGTTGAGAAAGCATTTTAGAAATACACTTAAGGAGTGCCGGGGATTTAGCTCAATGGTACTGCACCTGCCTCACAAGTTCAAGGTCTTAAGTTTGATCCCTGGTACTGAAGGAAAAAAAAGGAAATACGCTTAAGGAAACATATGTCTTAGCTACTTGTAGCTGTATTAGAAACAAAGTTTTGCTGTATTATGTCAGTAATAAAATCACCTTTCATGTCTAAGACCTTTCAGTTAAAATAACTCTTCTAACCCTGAACTGAGTACCAAGCTACCTTGCTTTAAAGCTTATGGAAACTAGGGTGCATCTGCCCCATCTCCTTAAATCTCACTTGGATTTAGCAAGGACCAAACCTCAGAGCTGTAATATTTAGAGAGAATGTTCCAGCACCACCTACAAATTGCCTTTCTTTAATTTGTACAATTTACTAAGAGACATATATTATAAAGTTTAATAAAATTGTATAGAAAAAAACCTCATCGTGGTAATTGCTATGTTGATTTAAGGTCCTGTAAGTGCAGTGAAACATAGTTACCATGCATATAAATGCTGTTTAATAGCTATATAACTAGGGATTTTATTCTTATTTGGAGCTTTCTCTTAAATCCTGTGGCTTTTAATTTTAGATATTACAGATCTTTGATATAAAGTATGAATATAATTGGGAAAGGAAAAGGAGTTATGTAGATTGTGAGCCCGAGAAAACCATTCCAATACAAGACCAGTATGAAATTGTCCCTGACTTGTTCTAAGCAACAGTAGGGGAAAATCTAGCTGCCCATATATTATAAAATGAATATGTGGTATACATCTCTACAAACCAGCATCTTTTTTTCCATTCTTCATTTCCCAAAGGTGGGCAGACCTGAAACAGGTCTTAGTTATAAGGTATTTAAGTTTTGTGCTTGGTGATGTGTCTGTCAGATTGAGGAATCTGTGCGGAGCATGGTAATGCGCTATGGAAGCCGGTTGTGGAAATTGCGCGTCCTCCAGGCAGAACTGAAAATCAACATTCGCCTGACACCAACTGGAAAAGCAATTCCCATCCGCCTCTTCCTGACAAACGAGTCTGGCTATTACTTGGACATCAGCCTATACAAGGAAGTAACTGACTCCAGGACAGCACAGGTACAGTAGTCAAGCAGGCTCCTCTGAGTTCTGAGTTGATCCTATGGATACTTGTCTTTGTTATAGAAGACCCAAGCTCACAGACTACATTGGTTTCTTTGAGCTCAAGTGATTGTGTGAGTTTGAAAAACTTCATTTACCTTATACTATCTATCTGTGTTCTAAATTATGAATGTTATGAAACCCTCAACCTTTTATTACAAACTGGTGAATGCTAACGGATGCCATGTAAACAAATATAATTCTGCAATTTAGGCCTCTTTATTAGAGGGCTTTTAGGCTGCATTAGCAATCTAGTCTTCTCTGGTCTGATTTATCTTTCCTAGTTTCTGTGTAGTTAGACCATTCATCAGCAAGTGAGGGAAGGAGAATTGTTGGAGTATGTTATCAACATCTACCTTCAAAAAGGAAAATTTCAGGCCAGGGATGTAGCTCAGCTGCACAGCACTTGACTGGCAAGCACGAGGTCCTGAGTTCGATCCCCAGTACCCCAAAAAAAGGGAAGATTTCAACATAGTATAATAATAACACAAACAATATCAAGCAATGACTTTATCATATTTATCCATTATGTTACTCGTTTATACACATTCTTTTTCTTTCAAAGAATTCAGAGTGTTACATATCTGTATAAGAGCAAAGCAGCAAACCTTAATCTGTTTGTAACTTTAGTTTCTAAATATTTGGGGCATTTGCTATTATTGGACATAGGTTGCTTCATCATTGCTCACATCTTTTTTAAGAGCTAGTGTATTATTTTAGGGCTTTGGTCTGAACTTGGGACGTATATTTTTTCTGATGAAAGGATGAACTTGCTCCAGAATACCTAAACAGGAGTTTTAGTCTGTACTGTGCATTTGGGCGCCAGAAAGAGATTGTATCTCTTGTTTTATCTATATCCTTTTGAATCTGTGACTAGATATAGAAAAAGACATTTTAGTTAGTCTTTTGAGGATGAATTTTTAAAATCTCAGTTTGGACAGTTGTTATAGTGACCTTTCATTTTGTGCTTTGATTCCCAGTTAGATGGCCACAGATATCTATCCTATGAGAAGTGAGCAGTTAAAACAGAATGCGCAAGAGCGCAAGGGGTGAGCGAGAGAAAGAGTATTCAATAATTTTTGTTGCATTTGATGTTTTTCAGGACAACCTTAAGGACATTTTCAGTTAAAGCTTTCCATGGGTAGGGATATTTTTAATTAACCTTCTACAATGGCGTCAAGCCAGGCCTATTCTTGTGAAAAATATGATGACCACTTGAGACTTTAATGTTTTTGATAAATGTTTGTTCTTCAAAACTACTTTTTTTTTTATTAGAAAGCTCATAGTTTTCCCTCATGTTGGTTAGTGGTGACACAGAAGCATAAAAAGCACAGATGCTTCCAATCAAGGTCTAGTACTATGCCTGGTGCAAAATAAGCACTCAGTAGGCATCTGAAAGAATGAATTAGCCACCCTCAACCTGAGGGAGGAGCCCCTTTTATCAGTGGTCTTGCGTAATGAAGGAGCCCTGAAGGAAGAAGTCTTCCTTAGGCTCTTTCTTCAGCTGAGAGTTCAAGAGCCATCATGGCATGGGAACTAGTTTGTGAGCCCATGACTGGTAGTGGGAGCTGGTAGCGCTCCTAACAGAAGGAGCAGTCTCCAACCCAGATCCCTTATTCCCAATGCCTACTTCGTGCTTATTTGCCACATTTTTTCTCCTTTCTTTAGTGAATCACTACAGGACCATGTCTATCATTCATTCTTTTGTTCATTAGTTTAATATTTATTAACTGCCTATAGTATATTAGGCAGTATGGCCATAAAGATAAAAAATAATCTTCAAGAAATTTACATAACAATGGGAGGTGCCACATAAATAGTTTCTCTGTAGATGATATATACCATCACAAAATAAGCACTGTGTTTTAAGGGAATAGACTATGTGGGCCAGAGATTGTTTTCTAAGAGAAGCTCTTTTGATAGCCTCTGGTGAAAAGTGTTTGATTTGATATATAAAATGTGTACATATTTTCATGAACTTGTAAAACATGCTTTACAGTGTTTACTCTATTCATTATAGTAGAAAATGAAACTACCACAGATAGCCGCTCATTCAGTGGCTTCCATTACTATCAACTTCTTGTCCTAGCATAATCATTTATTCATTCTGCCAATAAGGAGCAAGGTTGACTGGGGTGGGTTTCCTTTTGTTCCATTTTCCTTGTTATAGTCTTTGTGATATAGGCTGTAATGAATGGTGATGTCAGGCATAGTGTGGAGAAGAGATTTGGGTAATCCATTGCATATGTGAATTGATTTCCAATGTGTAGTGTAAGGGAAAAATAACATTTTAAAATCACCTTTATTGAGGTATAATTTACATAGAATACAGTGGGCCCATTTTTTAGAAACAACTCGCTTCATTCTGACAATTATATATACCGTGATAACTGCCATCACCGTCATGATAGAAACATCTTCTCTGCCCCACAAAGTCATCTCATTCTCTTTGCAGTCAATGATAGAGCACCAACCCCAGTGTTAGGCAACAAGTGATCTGCTTTCTGTCACTGTAGGTTAGTTCTACCTGTCGTAGAATTTCATAAAATTAAAATCAGACAATATGCGCTATTTGGGTCCTGGCTTCTTTTGCTCTGCGTTTTATTTTGTTTCAGATTCATCTGTGTCACATGGGTTATGAGTATGTCTCTCTCATTGCTGAATAATATTCCATTTTATGGATTTACCAAAATTTTTCTATCCATTCACATGTTGATAAACATTTGGGGCTTGACTTCTTAGTTTGAGGTAGTGGAACTAAAGCTGCTATGAACATTTATAAATTTTTGTATAGATATATTTTCATTTTTCTTAAATACATAGGAGTGTAATTGTTCCTTCATAGTATATGTATGTTTAACATTATAAGAAACTGACAAACTCTTTGCCAAAGTGATTATCCCGCAGCAATATATGTACTCACATAGGCTTTTTACACACCCCTTCCTCATTGTGAAATTATATTTCTTAAATGTGACCAGCCTAAGTTCATCCCAAAGTGTGGCAAAACTACTCTTCATTCCTAACACAGTAGTAACTCTGTCTCCCACATGGTGACTTTTCCCATTGGTGGAAAAGTATTGGGAGCTGTGGTCTGTTGGTCTTTAAGCAGGCTGAGGCAAGTGTGCTCAGATTGATAAATCAGCAGAATAGTCTTCTTCCTCTGAGCTAAAGGACTAAAGATTCACTTAGCTGGACTATCCCCAGGGTTTAGGAGTGTACTGAATTCCATTCCTATGCCTACATATCAGGTCTGAAAATCTATTCATTAATGGTAGACTTGTACTTATATTTTAGGTCCAAATAGATATGTGGGTACTACACATACCCTTTCATCTCAATCTCCATTTGTATTCACTGTGTTGGAAATCTATATTTTATGTATTCATACATAAAGTGCCTAGTTTAGTGTTATACAACCTCTGAGCACTCAATAAATATTAATTGAATTGAAATAATGGCATCCCTTATTAATATTTATAAGCAAATAAAACTAGCTAAATATATGGAGTATGGAATACTCTTCTAGAAATATTTGCGTTAAAATGATTAAAAACTGGTATGGTGATTTCATTATGTGGCAAGATAAGTATTGCAGGAGTTATTCACTAGTTGTAGACAGCATACAGGAGAAATATATATGTAGTTTAATGTTTGATTTGATAAATAGTATTTTACTATAAGCTACATCTTAGATGCTAATAAGAATTAATTATTTAGGTGGATAGATAAAATCCTCTTTTGGCCGAAACATTTGAAGCTTTTGTGTGGCGAATAATACTTAAGAGGCACCTTCTAATCAAGTGGACTAAAAGTTTTGATGAATTGCTATTGCTAGCGCCTTGATCTGGCCGAAGAACAAGAATTATCTTTAATGTGCATAGTTGTTCCTAGTTTAAGTACTAGGACTTCTAAGATTACTAAGTTGATATATGTCATTTCTAAGTATATGGGATTCAAGGCACTTTAGAAGGCAAGCATCATCAATCTGTCTCTAGAATATGAAATTAACACTGTGCTTTCTTGTTGATTTCAACTAATCAAAAAATGAGAGTAGCCTGTGGTATGGAGCTGGTTACATATCATCTTTTTGGAGTTGGTTAACCTGTGGAGAGGTAAGAGCACCAAGAACCAAATGTTAAGAGACATGTCTCAGCTACTCAACCCACCAAAAATGCTTTTAAAGGAAAAACATTTAAGGAAAGAAAACATTCTCGGTAACTGTTTTATTTTTTCATCTATCTTTTAACTCCCCATTCCTTTATGTTTTTTTCTTGCAGATCATGTTTCAGGCATATGGAGATAAACAGGGACCGCTACATGGAATGTTAATCAATACTCCATATGTGACTAAAGACCTCCTTCAGTCAAAGAGATTTCAGGCTCAGTCCTTAGGAACAACATATATATATGATATTCCAGAGATGTTTCGGCAGGTAAAGCTTGCTGACAAGGATAGAGGGCCTGACATGTTCCAGGGAGCAAAGTTTTCCTGAATTTCCATCACATTCAACTTTGACTAGTAAAGGGCATTCCCAAATGGCAGGAAATATCTTGACACTACTCTCATTTCTATTTTATTGGAGACTTGGGGACTGCCATCTCAAGTATCAGATAGTCATGATTGGTGACCAGTCTCTCTCGAGTAGAAGACGGTAATGAAGATCACATGCCTGTGCTGGTAGTTTATAATGATCTGTGTGGGAAGTTACATTTATATTTTCTAAGTCTGTATTCAAGTTAAGGATATTTTTAAAAAAGGTATGAAATGCTAGCTCTCATTTTCTTATATTCCAGGATAACCCAGTTCTCTAGCTGATAGCCTAGGCTAATACAATGAGAATCAATATGGATAGCATAGACAAATGAATATAGAGTTCATGTTACACAGTTTAAAGTATAAGTTCTTTGGTGGGAGATTTATTATAGCTGAATAAAAACTAGCATGAAAAATATGACATTATGAATCTCATCCTCTATATGAAAATAAATTCCTTTGATCTGTATGGTGAATCATCTCTGTGCTGCAGATTTTTCTTCCATCAATAGAAGGCAAGAAAAGTATATCACTAGCAGAAAAGCAACAGATAAAGAATAAGGTATCAAAAGAATACTGTATTTGTCTTTTTAAAAAAATCTATGAGTACAGGATTTTCCCAAGTCTCCTAGTCAGTACCACCTGTATTTGAATTTCAATAAAGTAATATATGTAGACTTTGTAAATAATCTATCTGTAATTCCTGTGTTATTCACAAATCCAAAAGATTACATTACCTTTATGTAACCATTTGTTTACAAGTTCTGTCTCTTGAAACATAGCTACTTTCTTTCAGTATTTCCCCCTTATAGCATTGCTAATCTGAAAACTGAGTATCAGTTGTTTTTCAACATCAGTGCCATAAATAGAAATCCTATTCTATGGTATTTTTCCTATATAATAGATGTAACATAATGATTAGGGCATGTAGGTATGTATGAGTCATTTGACCATTAAATATTGCTTTGAGGCAAGCGAAGAAAGAACTGAAGTAGTTCCCTACTTCTTAAAGGATTTGTCTTATTTATAGAGAAGGTTAGAAATGGAAATCATGGGCCGGGGATTTAGCCTGTCTCGAAAGCAAAAGGTCCCGAGTTCTATCCCTGGTACAAAAAACAAAACAAACCAAAAACAAAATGGAAATCATAATGGTTTTTAAATAGATAGGTATGTCTGTTTTTTCAGATTTGAGCAGTATTGATCACACACTTATAAATAGTCATACATGTCTTAGTGAGGTAATTCCTATGTATGGGCCTGTAGTTATGAAAAATATTAGAAAGAGGATTCTTCCCTCAGCCTCTAGTAGAAACCTTATTCTAGCTTTCCTGGATTTTCTTTGTGTTAGCTGAGTGTCATGTCTTGCATAACAGCTAGAATTTCTTACATTGCAAGATTTCTCTAGAAAAAAATTTTCCCTTCTTTTTGAGATGCTGCTGCTACTTAGTTCTTCATTTTAACATTTCTGAAATAGTTTTAGGTCTTTAGTGTTAATGCTGTAGTGCTGATTCAGATTCACTCAACAGTTCAACTTTGTTGGAAAAATATCTGACTTTTGGTATGTAAAGAATAATTACAAATCTATATTAACTGAGAATGGAAATTGGAAGATTTAGTCTAATGCTTAAACTCTCTGCAGAACACTTTGTAAAGAAAACAAAACCAGATTAACCAAATCTTAGTAATTATTTTTATCTGTATTGAGATAGTATTTGTAACTGATTAGTCAAACTTCTCTTCTCCACTAGTCCCTGATCAAACTCTGGGAATCTATGTCCACTCAAGCATTCCTTCCATCACCCCCTCTGCCTTCTGACATGCTGACATATACTGAACTGGTGTTGGATGATCAAGGTCAGCTGGTCCACATGAACAGGCTTCCAGGAGGAAATGAGGCAAGTAGTTGAAACCCCCTCTCCCTATTTGTGTGCCTTCTGGTACCAGCCTTCTATGGGGGTGGTGATTAAGTAGTATTAATTAAGATCTAAGTGGCATAGGTAACATAATTGTCTTAGTCAAGTATTTTAGTGAGAAAACACTGAATGGATATCAAAGAATTATCATTAAATTTTTAGATGTGGTAATGGTATTATGATTTTTTAAAAAGAGTATTTAAAAGAGTATTGTTTTGAAAGAGTATTGTTTTCTGCTACATACATACTAAAATAATTTACAGATGAAATTACCTGATGTCTAGGATTTGTTTCAAATAAAGAAGCATGCAGATGAGAATATAGGTGAAACATGAAATAATTATCATGAATTGATAATTGAAGCTAGGTACATGAGAATACTTTCTCTATTTTTGTATGTGTTGGAAAATTTGAGACTTTTCTATAATAGAAATATTTAAAATATTGTTTTGCCTAATGTTTTTTCCTCATTTAGTTACTTGCATACTGATTAAATATTTTTTAAAATATCTTTTCCATGCTCCATTCATTTGATCTGGTGCTCTTGTAAGCAGGATGAATGTATTCTTCTAGGGACTCAGTCAGAACCAGAGGTTTGAATATAAAAGAAACAGAGAACTCATTTCTTGGTAGTTATCCAAGAATGCATTTTCTAACCTTGGTGTCCTTTTTCATATAATGACATATTAATAATGATGTAAGATCATATTCTCTTCTGTACTCTTGTACCTTTCTCTATGCATTAAGATTCTTCCAGTTTTAACTATGCTTCTAATTTACAGTTATACCAATGATAAAAACAGTAATAAACCTAAAAATAGAGATATTCTTACTTTAACCTTAAATGTAATCTCCAGAGAAATCTTTTTCCTTAGAAAGAGATGTCTTTACCTGGGTGTTCACCATGAAAGGCCGGGTAGACCACTAAATATATGCAGATATTTTTTCATTTTATTTCATATCGTTTAAAAAATATTTTCCTCTAAGTACAAGGTGTTTCAAAAATACAGTAGGGACTGCCAAGAGTAGATAATTTAATATTTAAAATAGAAACATGCACTGGACCAGATGGAGAGTATCAGGCTTGTAGTTCTTCTAATCTAGCCTTTACAAATAGCAAAGGCAAGAAGACTCATAGGGAGAATGCATAGGAAAGGGAGGATAGAATTTTGACAAGAATAAATATATCCTCGTCAACATGCAAAGTTGAAGCAGAGATTTGTGCCACTGTGTATAGCATTGCCTTAGTGAGCATCTCAGCAGGAAAGAAAAGCTCTATTGTATTAGACTTAAATTCTGATTCATTGAGCCACTGTTAAGGAATAGAAGGCACCCTTGTGAACATGGGGTTGAGAGTAAAATGGTTTTAACTAATGTAATTAAAACACAAAATGAGATTTTTGGCCACGTGAAAGCTAGCTTCAGTGCTGTGTGAAACCTCTTGCCATGATCTTTCTCCCTTGCTTTCTCTCTGCTCTCATTCTGTGTTTGAGCGAATGGAGACTGGGGAAATAGTGAAGTCCCAGAGGGACAGAGCTCTGTTCTTGCTGAAATTACAAGCACAGAGCTGCCTGGGCATGAACATGTAGTGTTTACTCTGCCAGTATGAATACAAATAGTCTTATTATACGGGACTCTGTACCCGAAGACCACACATGCACGCGCGTGCGCGCACACACACACACACACACACAAGAATAAAAAAAAACTAAAGGTTTTTTTTAACCCTTTTAAGACCTAGCAAACCTTGGTAGAAAAGGGATACCTTAAAGAGCTGGTTGGGACTATAGCTATGAGTAATAGTCTAGTATTATAGGGACCACGTTTTCCTATGCCTGGTGCTTTAGTAGTTTTGAAACTAGGGAGTTAATAGCATCGGTTAAAATGATTTTTGCATTTTGCCAGTTCTCACTTTTTTCTTGTTCCTACACTTTTCCCTTCTTAATTGCCTATTTTCTTTGTTCTTTTTTCAAATGATTGACTGCGATTGAGGCTGAGTGTTAGCTTGCTGTTTCTGAGCCTTTGAGCTTGGGAGGACTAAGACTGATGTTCTTTTGTGAGCAGTTAGTGACTAATGCCCAGGATGGCTGGTGAAGTCAGTGACCTTAGCTACATTATAGTGCACTGCATGACAGGAATGTGGTTAGGGTATTAGTATCAAATTCTATACTAATAGTTTGAACTTACAATGGAGGATGTCCAATGAAAGACTGACCAGTCTAAGGATGGAATTTGAGCAGTCAGAATTCTGAGGGACAGCTGTGCCTAAGAGATGACAAGGTGTCAATAGGCTGTATAGCCTTGTGCTGAGCCCAGTTTTTATCAGGGCAAGTTGACTCTCAGCTATTGCACTTTAATTTTCTTTGACCAAAGAGACAAGTTTGTCACAAGCCTGACACTCTACATATTAGCCCAAGAATGATGTGAAGGAAACAAAAAGAGTTCATGATGATGAGATTTGGAACAAATCTGTCCTGTCCCAAAGAGAATGGACATCTAAATAGAGCCTTGAGAAATAGTTGTATTAAAAAAAGGAATAAAAAATTGACCTGTTAATGTTCTGAGAGCCAAGGTTCAATGTAAATGCATTGATGCTACATAGACATTAAATCATCATAATGTGATGTTCTCCATAGGTGACGGCTCTACCAGGTCATCATTGTGGGTGGTTTTGCATTACCTTGAAGGATTGGAGTTTCTGGGTTAAAAAGCTGGCTCACAGATATAAGGAATAAGGGTAAAGCAAGAGATTCCTGCCGAGTTTTTTCATGGATTGAGATTCTTTTCTCTGCAATCAAAGACAGAAAACCTGCACTTAACAGTCCATCGTCTATATTGGTCCTGTCCCTGTTCCTGTCGTCCCCCTCCCCTTGACAGTAAATAGGTGAGATGGTGATAGGACCAGGACTTAGACCAATTCAGTTTCATTTAGTTTTAGGTAACTTGTTTGCCATTTGAGGAAGAATATTGGCTATTTCAGCAGAGATGTGACCTGCATGTTGAACATTTGTGCCTGTGTTAAAAGTGGGAAAGAGCTTTTCTGGTTCCCTGTTAGCCTGTTTCTCCTTTCCATTTTTTCAGTTATCCCTTCCCCAGAAAGAAAGATTTAACAAAAGGAATGCTACCCAATGCATGATGAAAAGTACAGAACACATTTTTCTTGTCACATTTGGATGGCTTTGCATTTAGTATGAATTTAGAGTAGGAATAAAAAAGATGTAGACCAAATCTGTGAACTATGTTACTTGCAAATAGCCCTAAAGATGAGTTGTCCAGGATTTTTCTTAATAGTTCCAAGTAAAAAGGAAAATTTGATTGCAACATAGACTAAACTGATTTTATTTCTAGCCGCTATGATGCTATAGTGATGAGCACTGTATGTAAATACGCAGCTAGATGAATGTGTGCTGTTAAGCATGGATGCAGAAGAAATGCAGCTAACCAGCACTTCTACATTACTACTTCTTTATTTTAGAGGAATTGTTTTCATTTTCCTGCCAGTGTGCTAACCTGTTTTGATCATTTGGTAGAAGCTGTAATTGCAGGTGGGAACATCTTGAGTAACAGTTCACAATCCAGTGCAGCTGCTTTTCGCACTACATCGTGTTATTAAAAAGCTCGGGCTAAGATCAAGCCAAGGGGTATAACAGACTTGACAGAGAACAACTTAACTTTGCTTGGGAGGACAAAGAAAATCCTAGCCTTCTTGAGACTATGTTCGTATTTGTCTGAGATAAATTACTAGTGCTTAAATTATTTCTTTCTTTCTTTCTGTCTTTCTCTCTCTCTCTCTCTCCTCTCTCTCTCTCCTCTCTCTCTCCTCTCTCTCTCTCTCTCTCTCTCTCTCGTACTGGGGATCGAACTTGCACTTGCAAGGCAGGCGGCGGAACCCCTGAGCTAAATCCCCGGCCTTTAAAATATTTATTTTTAACAGCTCCAGAATTAAATCAGGAACCTCCAAATTGCATAATGATGAAAAATATCATAGACTAGCAACTTTTATGGTAATTTTAATGCTGCTAAAAATTAGGTCCCTGTTCTCCTTACCATTTCAGAACATGGGCTTTTTAACATTCTCTCTCATCACTCCTGTCATAATGAAAAATGAGGCAAGATGTGTTTAAAAGCAGTTAATAATAGGTACAGTATACATATCCAAAAAAGGATTAGTAATTAGAGACTGAAATTCTTTCGTGGTGTAAATTTTTTTTCCTTAAAATTATAGGAGAAAAGTATATTCCAAATTGAATACAAATCAACAATCACCTCCACACATGGTATTTCACTTAAAAGTTGTGGTGGCTCCAAGGTTTCAATTTTTCAGATAGGCACTAGGTGTCAGGGTTCTTCCTTCTTAGCAGTAGCATTTAAACAAGCCTTTTGAATTCCCAGTTTGTTGAGACAAATCCACTTATGTTCTACCCTTTTATTCAGTTGGCATAGTAGGGTTTCTCTAATGCTCCTACAATGTGCAATTGGCAGTTTAAACTCTTCTTGGAGATGTATTCAACCCATATTATGGCTCTATGCAGTTATTGAGGAAAAGGATGATGAAAGAGGAAATAAAGTAGTATAAATTAAAGTTTAAAGACTGCCATCATGACTGATACCTTGGTTTCAGTTCTGCTTTATGTTCTCAGAGGTAAAATGGTAGGGATAAATAGTTATTAGGATTAAGTTCCGGAACTGCGCAACCTGACGTGTACTCATATTTAATTAAGTGTTCATTGTGCCATTGTTCAGTACCTTCAAAGCATAATGTTTCTTAATTTTTTTATTTTAAAAATTACAAAAAAAAATATGAAGCTGTGATATCCCTACGTCTACCAACCAGCTTAAACAAATTTAACCACTTTGACTGCATTTCTCATTTATATATTGATATAATCCTTGGAAATTTTTGTGTGTAAAAAAATTAGAAGTTAGGTAAGGGAAAGAAGGTGAAATTAACTAAGCCTAAAAGACTTAGAAGAAATTAATTA